ATGCAGGGAAGCGAGGAAAGAGGTACGGGGGATGCAAAGGGGAGCTGGGAAGAAGCACCAGCAGGCAAGAGGGAAATGTATTCATGGGCAGGAAGAAGCCTCAATATACTGCTGAACACGATCTGTTTCTAACAACTTTCCAAGCGCTATGAACACACCCAAGTCTTGAAAGTGCTCAGAATACACCGAAATCTTGAACAAACCAGAACTTGAGTGGCCAAGGCTGGCTTTTTGGGAACTTATGGGGCCAAGGGAGATTTGCCATAGTGTTGCCAGGCTCTCTATTGTCACCAGTGAGGTATGGATGCCAAGGTGAGACACATCCTTGTGGCAGGCGCCATCCGGCACGCTTCTCTATACAAGTCACACGTGCCTCCTCGCACTTCGTTTTGATTCCGTTCTGCATCGCACTCTCCTTGCAGACTGCTGGTGTTTTGGCCAAACTAGGAAAACGACACCTGGTGGCCAAGGGGAAACCCATCAAAAGTGGAACCACCATCAGCAATCAAGGTGCTTGTTCAATGCACAATGCAAGCCTACAACAGATCGACTTTCAGGATGTAAACACGGTAGAAAATGCGTGCAGCACAGGACAACTGGAACTTTTAAGCACACAATGCTCCTAAATAGAGGCATGCAGCTGACTGGCGTGTTTGAACAAATCTCAAATTTGTTGCTTCAGCCCTGTCAATTGCCCCAAGTCTTCCATGCAGCTTACGAAGGTGGGCCTCTCCACCCACCTCAAATGCAGTTGGGCTGCATTTTCACTTGACAGGGTAGGAGAACTACAGACCACTATGAATGTACAGTTATTCCTATCGCACGGAAGGTTTCCATGACTCCTGGTGCTTGTATAAGGACACTGGGAATCAACAGGACGATTCTTGCAATGAAGCTGGAAGTGACAAGCGAATGGCTTGGTCACCCAAGGGCATCTTTGAATCTGATCAACCAAATGTAAAGGGAACCTGCCCCCCCCCCCGCCCATTGAAAAGTGACAACTTTAGCCTTTTTAAGTAAAGCATTGCACTGGAAATCTTTACATCTCTATCTTTACATCTATGTCTCTTAATATCATAGGATGGGGCATCAAGGTCACCTAGTCTTAAGCGTCAACTGAGGAATTTGACATCACCTGGGTACATGGCAGTCCAACTTCTCCTTAAAGGTCTCTAATGAAGAGTGCACCCTCTCCAGAGGCAGTCTGTTACAAGCTCTTCCTACTATTTTGTCAAAATCCCTTTGCCATTTGAACCTGCTGCTTTGGATCTTACCCTCCAAAGCAACAGAAAGAAAATTCACTCTGTGTTAAACCCTTTTTTAATAGATTTGTTGTAACCATTTGTGGATTTTTGCCTAAGCTGATTTAATTGCTGAAATGTAAAAACCTAAACAGATGACTTCCGCCAAGGAACTAAGATTGCAGCCAAGAAGAAAACGAGAAGAAAACAAACAGCCATTTTTATTTTTTTTTTAAGGAACAAATTTTATTCCAATTTCAAACAATTTATTCCAGGAGAAAGATATGAAAATCAATTTCCATCAGGTACTTCTAAACAATGAGGGTCAGCATCCAGCAGACGAGAGGACTGACGTGTTCCGAGAAATCCCATCCTGCCTCACAGGCCAGAGAGACACGCAAGGACCAAGGCCAGAAAGCCATTCCCGGGCCACATCATTCGAAATCCCTGCTCTGCCGCTGCCCTCCCTTGAACACCACATGCAATTTCAAAATGACAAAAAAGGTTTTAAAAACAGCTTTTTTATATATAGTAGTTCCGTTCTCTCTTTTAAATAGTATAATGTTTACATGTTTGCTTTTCAATCAGGATCTTATTTTAATATACAAGCATAACCAAATAATTTTCCACCACACTGTAAAAGAGTCTCTGGTACTAAAGAAAGAACGGGGCATTGGCACAAACCATGATAACGCTTAAAAAAAAGCACACATGCTCACACACAGTTACAGACTTTAACCTCCGATGGACTCAAACAACCTTTGTTTTCAGTGAAGCGCAATACAATTAATGGCTAGCGCACACGCCGGAAGGGGGGAAAAGCATACTTTAACATAGTAATAAAATATGTGGAAAAAACACAACACGGTTGAAGGCAATGGCAGATCGACTGATTTGACGCCAGGGAAAAGAGAAGACGTGGCAAGGGAAGGGGCTGGAAGCAGCTTACGGGCAGTCACTTTGAAGCTCTACAAGGAAATGGAATGATTACGGTTCAATCCTCTTCCAGCCAGTCAGGGGAGGCCCGGGAGCAGGTCACTCGGTCTTCTGCAGAACTCTCTTCATATAAAGTGCACTGTGAACACATTGGTCAGGCGGTTCCTTCATCTCGACGTCGAGGTCCTCCGCTCTCGCACGCTCGGCTTTGAGCATCCTGCACCAGCTTGCCGGCCACTCGGAGGCCTTGCTCGGCTCCTGCCGGCACAATCTGGGGTGCAGTGGGCAGAGCGTCAAAGCATGTTTGGCACTTGCGTGGAGAGCGAGCGAGCGATGGCTGGGCTGGCCTGGCCTGGGGGAGGCAGGCACGTCACACGGAAAGCAGGTCCACCAGAGGTGGCTTCACAAGGGTTATCTTCTCCATCTTGAGCTCTCTGCCCCCGATCCATGGCCAGCAGCTGGCCAGCAACTAGCCCTCTTTGTAGGGCCAAGGGCCCACTCAACAAATATGGCGGGGGCAACATTCACCAGGCCAAGCCCATTCCGGGAAGGCCCATGTTCCAGAGCAGTCGATCGAAGAGGTGCCCCAGGAGCGGCTTCCTAGCTCCTGGATCCCTCAGCGACAGGTCCCGTGGCCGCAGTGGGCACTGCAGGTCAAGGTGTGCGCGGGAGCAGACTTGAGGAGTAAGGAGGTGCTCCGGGCAAGTGGCATTCGGGGGAAGCCATGGCACAGTTTCAAGAAAAGAACTTGTTGGAGGGAAACAAGCATCTCGGGAGTCCAAATGGCACAAAACTTTCCTCACCTGTGCAGGGAACCCCCCCCCCCCAAACTCCTGTCATTCCAAATACATTTAGATCAAAAGGGGTGGGGGGGGAGAAATGTTTATTTTAGAAAGCATTAATTGAACAGCATTCCTCCCATCAACCCAAAAGGATCCCTCACACAGGAACTCAACTGCTTGTTGGTCTCCTCATTTTAAGAAGAGGGAGGGAGGGGGGAGGGAGTACCCAGAAATCCCTTCGAACAGTGGCTCACTTTTGCTTTTTTCTGTAGTGTTCCACGACATGGATTAAACCCAGGACATTTGGAGGGCAACTGGTCTCTGCCCTTCCACCCCACCCCACCCCACCTCGAATACTGCTGGTGTCCATGTGCAAGTTGGATTGTAGTGTTGTGACCCAAACGGATCTAGGGAAGGAGAAATCCCATTCTGCCTTGTGCAGACAAGTCTAGCGAGCGTCGCCGCACACGATGCAGACGCCCATCAGACGCACTGCAGCGAGTGGCCTTTCCCTCCTTTTCACGGAGAAAGGTCTCAGGCAGTCCAGGGATCTTCACTGTTAGCAGTTCTGAAGCCATGTTAGTGTTGTGTGTACCTCAAGGGGCCAGGGGGCACCTTCAGGAAAGCCCCCCACCCCCGCTCCCAGATTGTGCACGTAGTGCTGTGGTAATGCTTCTTCCAGGCAGAACCCGCAAGAATCTTGGCGTTTTGGCACCATCTCCCACTGGGGCTTGAAACAGGCGGTTGCCGAAGCATGTTTGGCACTGAAATTGCAAGAAATGCAACCTTCCGTGGTCCTCACTTTAAAGGTCAGGCACCGTCTCTATTGTTCCTGCTCATTCCGGATCCGGTTTCCTGGTTCGGGCTCCAGCTTGCTGCGGGCCTCTTCCACGAAGGCAGGCTGTGGCCCCCAGCGTTCCTGCAATACTGCCTGCAGAACAAAGTCTTCCAAAGAAGAGGCGAGCGAGGAAAAACAGCAGCTGCCACTCACACAAGCCTCAGCAACGCAGTCCGAAGTGTCCGTTTGCAGGGACACCAGAAAGAACTTTCCTTGGAAGCATTTCGCTAAGATGCTACTGTGGGTCCTTTCCTATTTTGCTCCTTCCTCTAGGATTCCCACATTTGGGTGGGGGATTTCATGAACTCAAGTGCTTCTTGGTGAAACACACACATACAGCCAATAATGAAGAGGAGGAGGACAAAACAAACAAAACACACAAACACACACACGCACACACGCACAGCTACGAGTATGTAGTAGAACTGCCAATCTTTCTTCTAGTCCAAAATCTGCTGCAGAATTTGGATTCCACCACCTAGGCAATGTCACCCTCTTGTGATTCCTTTACATCTGCTGGGTGAGAAGAATCTTTCTAAGTGAGCTACCTCTTTCCTTAAAGAAACTAAAACCCACCACAAACAGGCACTCCCCCCCCAGTCCCCGACCACCCACCCTCCTCCGGCTCATCTGCTATTACTTGGTTCATAGTCTATGAACAAAAGTAAGCATAGCTGGCAAACTATGCACAGAATAATAATTTAAAAAAATCACAGTTTCAATATATCTTTCATAATTGAAAAGGAAAAAAAATCTAGACTAACATGGCACAAAGGAATGAAGGAACGAATAGAGTACTTGTTTGGCATAATTGTTAAGGAGCGCTTGTCCCTCCCAAGATCTCTTCTGAGCGTACCCGTCCGACACATATCCTCCTGGGTGCGATACACGGAGGTACAGCGGAGAAGCGGACAGTGTGAGCAAGCTGCACCAGTAGCATCCTATGACACAAGGAGAAAGTGCTAGTAGCATACAATACTCCTACAGCCCAGCAAGCTCACGGTCTTGGCTGGAAACTCTGGGACTCATCTACCGCCGGACAGAAAGGAAAAATTAACTGGCTAATGCAACACAAATTCCAAGAGGAAGCTGCATGGACTGCTGACACGAAGGAAGTTAATAAGGTGCCAGAGAGAGTGAAACGTGTCCCCCGTTGTTGTTTTAAACTTTGAAATAAAAGCAAATTTGGTTTTCTTTTTTAAAAAATCAGCTATTCTGTGGGGCAGACATGAGACTCCAAGGTAACAGTGAGCAAAAAAGCCCTTGCCACTCCACAGATCAGACAATTTCTCATCATTACATCATTAAAAATTAAGATAGTTTTTCCTGTACATGTTTTGTTTGTTTGAATTCATGGGGTTCTCTCGTCTTACTTTCTTCACAACAAAAGGTCTCCCAAGGAGATTTGGGGAAGGGTGGGTAGAAGGGTGGGGAAAAGGACAGGCAGATCAAGGTCAGACTAGGTTATATTCCTTCAAGTTGAGCTGCAGGATGGTGTCCTTGACGGCAGCAAAGACAAACCGGATGTTCTCCGTATCCGTGGCACATGTGAAATGAGAGTAGATAATTTTGTCGCTGTCAGGGTTTAGATCCACAAACATCTTGAGAATGTACTCCCGGGCTGCTTGTGCATCTCTCGGGGGGCCTGCAAACAGATTGGGGGGAGGGCCACTGTTACAATGAGATTTCTATTGCGTTTGGAGCAATCTGATGTTGAAGGGGTTATATTGAAGCCACCGCCCTCAGGATGAGGGGAATCGGCAGTCGGGCGCATGGCAGGAGAGGCGATGCAAAATCACACGTGTTTATTATGAAGACACACAAGAAGGGAAGAGCCCTGCTCCATCAGACCAGGATTCCACCTTGGCAGCATTCTGCCCAGCCAGCGGCTACAAGATACCAATATGCCCCCTGCCTCTGTTCTCCAGCAACTGGAGTACGCAGGAGTTCCGCTTCAGAGCCTGGAGGAGGCTGAGAGCCATCAGGACTAGGAGCACACGCTGCCCTCCCCTCCCCTCCAGGGATTCATCCCATGCTGCCCAAACGGAGGTCCTACCTCTTGCCTGTTCTGCAAGCCCCACCAAGCACAAACATCTGGGGCTCGGGCATCCCATGATGATCAAACTGGCTGTGCTCCGCTGATGGTGGGGGCAGTTACTGCCCCCTGCAGCTGCCCACCTGGAGATCAACTGGCTTTCTGCCTGCCCAGCTCACCGGAGAGATGATGTCAGGAAGACACGGCCTGGGCCCCTCCTGCTTCCTGCGCCCCCTTGCCCGGCTCAGGCAGGCCAGAACGCTCACGAGCAGCTGCTCCATGCGCAGGCAGACGGCCTTCAGGAGGCTGGGAGCCTGCGTGCAAAGCGCACACCCTCTCCAAGAAGCTGCCGCTCACAGCTCAAGTCTCGGGCTTTCAGGACTGGCAACAGCGTGGGGGAAAGAGCTTATCTTGGATTGGCTTGAATCGCTCGCTGAGTACTTCTGAGGGACTGAAAAGCGCGTCCTAATTTGTTAAAAGCCGTTACTTACCATCATACTCTGGAAAATAATCCGCAATGTGAGAATACATTATCTTGTCTTCCAACAGATCTTTCTTGTTGAGAAACAGGATTACAGAGGAGTTCTGGAACCAGGGATAAGTGATTATTGTCCGGAAAAGGGCTTTGCTCTCCTCCATCCGGTTCTGTCGGGGGGAAGAAAAAGGGCTTTCTAGGTATCGCCTCTGCAATTGCCAAGGGAGACACACATGAAATGAGTGGGGGGGTGGCAGAGATTTATACCCCATGGAGTTCCATCAGCCCCACCACAGCAGGGTGTGAAAGGGATGAGGTCCTGATAGGACTCTGGGCACTTTCTGTGACAGCCAACACGGAAGTGGCACGAACCACTCTTGGCCTTCTCCATCACTACCACGCTTTCCACAATGGCCAAAATGCTAGGAAGCAGCTTTCTCTCCGCCCAGAGAAACAAGGCTTCCTCCTTCCTACCCTGCCTCATTCACCCATGAAGCATTCCATTTACTTCTCAGATTCAGACCCTCCTTTCTGAGCAACATCCCTGCCTTTTAAAAGAGGGATGAGATGATGCAGATGAGCAAGAGAGCTGACAGAGGCTTCCTCCTGCCTCGCCTCCGGACTTTGGAGCGTGCTCCCTGCGGAATCACTACTCGTCTTTATTCTCTTGCATTCACGGCCGGAGGCAAAACACATCTGTAGAGCACTTGTTTCAGAAGAGCCCTACACACGTGCATAAAAGAAATCTACTCCAAGACCTGATCCACCATTTGTTAAATTTGGAAGGGCTCCTATTTTGCCTCGCTCAGCCTTGGCGACACGTAGTTTCTCTGTAGCGCCGGCCCCGGGTGCTTTGAAAAGATGCTGAAAAAGGCGAAGGGAAAGAAAAGAGCAGCGAAGCTCGAATCACACCTGACTGCTGAAAGTATGCCTCCCTTTCACATGAAGAGTACAGACCACAAGGCTTAGAGAGACAACAGCCACAGTTCGCCGGGGCTTTTTCACGTCAAAACAGAACTTCTGCATCTTCTAAGTCCATCGCAGCTGCAGCAGGGGACGTATGCGCAAGGCCCTTGCTGTCCTTCCTGCAGAAATGCCCCCACCACCGGCCTGTCCCATGTTTTACAGCTCGCTGCACGCCCTGCACAGCTGGGAAGCGTGCTGCCAGTCCTCCCAGCACAAAATGAGGGGTTACTACAGACATGCGGCACCGCAGCGTTCCGAGATGCCCTTTCATTTCACACTGAGAGAGCGGCTGTGGGTCAGAAGCAGCGCCACGCCTCGTGAACGGCTTGGGGCCTGGAGGCACCGCCTGCCAACTGAGAATGCGTGCCTGGGCAGTCGCCTTTCATGTGGTGAGGGACGACTGACGTGTGCCTCAGCAGAGGTAGGGGAGACCTCCCCCAGCTGCTCAGGGCCAACCCAGAAGCAAGGCCTTCTTGCCCCCGCCTGGGAAAATCGAGCTGCCCGGGTTGGGCTTGGCTACGGGGGCTGACGGACCTCAGGCTAGTTCTAGCCAACGGGAGCTTTCTCAGACTTTCCAGATGAAGCCACTCAGAGGAGGCAAGGCAAAGAAGGGCAAGGGAAGAGGGAGAGGTGGCATGCTCCTTTTTAATTTTTTTTTGCTTTTAAGTTCTTGAAGGGTCTCCAGACCTTCTTGTGTTTCCCAGTGCGCACACCCCCTGCACACTTTTGGAAGCCGTTCCAAGAGCTGTGATCCCAGCACCGCAATGAGGGCTTAAGGAACACCAAGCCCCACTCGCTACTACCACAGTTTCGTACTTACAGCTTACCTCGTTATCAGATTCCACCAGAACTTGGTCATATTCGCTAAGGGCTACTAAGAACATGATGGAGGTTACATTTTCAAAGCAGTGTATCCATTTTCTCCGCTCTGACCTCTGACCCCCAACGTCTACCATTCTGAGGGGACAAAAAGGCAAGCCTTAACTCTTCCAACATTCATTCCATATCTCCAGTAACGGGGGAGGGGGGCGATGATCAAATACACCTACAAAAGCAGAACCACACGCGATTTTGGAAGAAAGGTAGCAAATGGAAGGCACTGAGTACATTTCAGTGAAAATGTACTAAGAAACCTTCCATCCGTGCCTGTCCTCATCATCCAGCTTTCGCAGGAAGTGCTTGTCCCCACTGCAGCCCGGGCAGGCGACCGTAATCGAAGTAACTGCCCACGGCTCTCTCCCGTCGCCCCCTCCCTTGGCTGCCTCCCCATTTATTTTAGAGCGCTGGCCCCCAGAGGCCGGTCTGGGGCCTGGCATTCCTGTCACTTCGTCACGCGCCATGTGCACAGGCAAAGCGGCCGTCCCGCTTGGCAAGTCGGCCTTCTCCAGCTAGGTGCCTCCCGATGCAACCACGCGGTTTGGAAATCCTGGGAACTCCACTCAGGAGCACCAGGGTGGGGAGGGCTGATGGAAACAGCACCGAGCCGGACGAACCAACGGCCTCTCCGCACCCAGGCCGGCTTCTTCTGCGTGCTCCGTCTCCTATTTACAACAGAACGAAGAACTGGGACGATGGAGCACAGGAGGGGCGGTGCGAGGAGGAGGGCTCCGGGCAGCACCAGGGAAGCACACAGCAGCTGCTCCCACGCGAATGAGTGCGGCGCTGCGGCTGGACCCCACAGCAGGCGGCCCACCGGGGCAGAGGCCACCCGGCGCCACGCTCCTGCCTGGCGGGGCAGTGGAAAGGCCAGGCCGGGGTGAGCTCAGAAGAAGCTAATCCAAGCATCGGTGTTTCCCGGGGGCTCCCCCGCCGGGGCGCCCGCTTCGCTGTGCGTTCGGCAGCGGCTTGCGAAGAGTCCCTGTCACCTGCTGCCCAGGGGCTTCTCGGCAGAGGCGGGCCAGGGGGCAGCCGCGGGTCGCCTGGCATCCGCTCTCCACTTCGGGCTTCTCTCAACAACGCCCCTGCACAGTTTCTCGCCTTGGGGTGGAAATGCTCGGCCAAGCGCAGGGAGGCCTGCTGGGCAGCGCCTCGCCCAGCCTGCGAGAAGCCCCCACAAAGGCTTCGGAGGGAGGGATGGCGGTTTATCATGCCATGGAGCACGCAGGCTGGCTTCGAGCGAGGGGGAAAGCGGCGGGGGCGGGGGGAGGCCAAGGCAGTTACCTGAAGATAATATTCTCTAGGTCAAAGGGGTATTCTATGATCCCAGTCGTTGGAACTCTGACCCGCAGGACGTCTTGCTGCGTGGGGAGGTACCCTGGGGTGGCGATACGGTCCACATCAGTAAGGTAGCTGTAAAAAGCATGTTCGGGGTGGGAGGGAAGATGAGGGGGACATGAGTTTGCTTGCCACACAAAGCACCCCCGCCCAGAGAGCGTAACTGCGGAGCCCCCCCACCTTCTACCCAGCCTCCCCCTTCCGCCAAACGTGCCCTCCTTGCTGTGAGGCACGCAAAGGAACAAAGCGGCGTCTGCCCAGGAAACCACCCGAGGCTCGCTTCTTCACAGGCCAGAGCAGCCTGGTTGGCCGAGTCTGTAGGCTGCCCCACCCCACCCCACAAGCTGCTCTGCTGCGAATGAGAGAGGAGAGCTGCGTTCCTGTGCCGAGCATGGAGACGGGGCCACGCACCCAGGCGCCCCCTTCTCCATGCCAGGCGCGCCATCCACCCCCCCCACACCAGCCCCCTGCTCGCGTCCCAGGCTGCCCAGCGCTCCCTGAACAGTGCAGCCGAGCAAGCCCCGCGCAAAAGCCTCCAAGACAGCAGACTGGTAGCCGTCTTCGCCCAGGCACACATCTAGCTTGTGCTGCTCATGTTGCCAAGTGAGAAAGCTCCCGGGAGACCAGAAAGATCAGTGCTACATGTGCTTTCTAGCAGCGCTTGGTCTCTCTGCACTCCAGTGAACTTCTGCCAGCTCTTCTCCACGCCTTCTCACCCTATTTCTCAGTGTATTGCAGGGCCAGGCAAAAACAGTGCCTCTGGGCATTAACTGTGCTCTCCTGGGCAGGGGAGGCAGGGAATTTGAAGGATCCTGAAAAAAGAGCAGAGTTTCTCATGTGCTCGCAGTGAGGAGTCCTGAGGGGGCCTGAACGTATGCGTGCACAGTGACAAGATGAGGAGGTGGTAGGTCAAAAAGGGGGGAACTGGCTAGCAAGGGACAAAAAGAAACGGGAATGAGTTGGCTGGCAGGCTGACGACGGCTGGAGACAGAAAAGCCACCCGCCTTCTGTGAAATAAGATTTCTGTTGGCGTTCTGTTGGTTCCACAGGACTCACAGAGTGAGTTGTGACACAGACCCCGCCTCTACCACACAATTCGCCTTCTGGGCAGGTGACTTGTCTTTTGTGTTTAGTTCCACCTCCATGGCAGCCATTTTGTGGTAGTGCCCAGGACAGGTTCTTGAATTGCCCAATCTGCCTAAGGGTCCAAAAAATTCCCTACTTTTGGTCTAACCCGGGGCAAGACTGCCATTCTCCTTCAAAGGCTGGGCCCTCAATTTCCATTCTCCTGAGCTTGTCAGGCCAATGGTGGGAACTGGAGTCCAAAACATGTCAAGAGCCACACAGGTTGTCCACCCATCCAAGAAGTATACCAATATTTATTAAAAATCGTGGACCATCTTCCTCTGATTATTACTTCCAGTATTTACCACTTCCCTTTGCAGCACGGGCAATATGAAAGGTCACAGAGGATAAAGCTCAGAAGCAACTATCAACTATTTTGAGCTTTGGGCAGCAACAAGTTGGCAGCATAAAATTGATCAAGAACACATGAGATACATCTCTGATGTTCCCAAATTCCTAAAAATACAGCAGCAGGTGAAGGACTGAGGATTCCTCCCTCCTCCAGTGCCAGAAGGGGATGAGAGAGTTTGGGGGCATCAGCCAGATGTCCCAAGCCACACTTTTTCTGTGAAATCCTGATGGTTGGTTGGTTGGTTGGTTATTTATTTATTTATGGGGGGGGGGGGGGGGGGATGCTCAGCAGTTGCAATGCCGCAAAAGTGCTAGCTTTGGAGAGCTGCTCAGAGAGGCCAGATCTGCTTACTATTTAGCTGAGTCGGACAGCTGGTACTCTCGCCGTCGGTCATAGCACTCCTGGATTCCTGGGTCGTTCCACAAGGTTTTAATTGCACTTACATAAGGCTGCTCGAAGGACGAAACCTTTTCTACATCCACGTCCCGGATCAGCAAGGCATTGTCCTACAGGTTGGGAGGAGAGAGAGAGAGAAGCCAGCTTGAAAGGCCCATCTTGGGAGGCCTTTCCCCCACTCTCCCCGCCCCCCCCCAGGTGAAGCCTTTGCCCCTTCCAGGGCTCCCTGTGATGGTGAGAGGCCCACACTCTGCTCCGAGTCATTACTTAGGATCCCGCCTGCGTGTAAGTAAAAATGCAGGCAGTGATTTTTAGCAGCAGCAAAAGCAACCGCTAGCCTGAAGCCTGAATGATTCACCCGAAACCTCTGCCCCCCTCCCCACCAGACCTCCACAAGTGGCTCCCTCACTCAACAGCATGCCATGCCAGTGCCCCACCAGGCCTGGGGTGGAGGAGATGCTCCCACCTCGGGGCCCAGAGAGGCAGGGAGCTTTGGCTACTCCTGGGCTGCTAGCTCGACTGGTGCTGCTGGACACAGGATTGCAAAGAGGCAGTGATGGGGCACAAGAACAGAGCAGTGGGCCGGGGGGGGGGGGGAGCGGCTCACCTTGTTCTGTTCATATTTGTAAAGGATCTTTAAGGTCTCCATGGCCCTGATCATTGACTGCATGGCAGTGAAGATGTTCTGGTACACCAGCTTGGTGAAACCCTTTTTGTCCTCCTCAGAGTAGCCCGAGCCATGGATTATCCGCATCTGTTTGATGAATGTGCTCTTCCCACTCTCTCCTGTGCCTGAAGGGAGAATGTGCAGCACAGCAAGAAGACATAAGGTGGCTATACTTTGGTCTGATTTCTGTTTTTGGGGTTGTTGTTTTTTTTAGCAGGTACTGTATAATTTTCCTCCTACTCCCAACAAAAATCCTATGCTGCAATTTGTTTTTGCAATACATTTTGCTATTACACTTTTACTACCTGGTGTTTTGGGAGCTACCCAAAAATATTATTCTAAGTAAGATGGCAAAAGCACTAATTACAAGGTGGTTGAACTGACTTTCCATGCTGGTAAGCAATTTGCTGCCGTAATAAACATCCTGTAAGAAAAGATGGGAGAGCACAAGAAGGAGAATCATTGAACAGTAGAGTTGGAAGAGGCCAAGAAGGCCATCAAGTCCAACCCCCTGTTGTTGCAGGACACCAGTTTATACCAACCCATTCCGGTAGCTGTCCAGGTTGACCTTGAACGTCTCTAGTGTGAGAGAACCCACAACCTTTCAAGGCAGCTGGTTCCATTTAAAACTCTCTTTAATGAAATAACCATTTATAATGGCCTGCCCTAAGCTGCTGTTCTTCTGATATGTTGGACTACACCTTTCATCACTCCCAGCAAGCACAGAATCATAGAAACACAGAACAGTAGAGTTGGAAGGGGCCAGGAAGGCCATCCAGTCCAACCCACTGCTGTTGCAGGACAACAGTTCACACCATCCCACTCAGAGGGCTGCCCAGTTTCGCCTTGAATGCCTCCAGTGTGGGAGAGCCCCCCACCTCTCCAGGCAGCTGGCTCCACTGCCATGTTGCTCTGACAGTGAGGAAGCTCTTCCTGATGTCCAGCCCAAATCTGGGTTGCTGCAGCGGGACTTGATTATTGCATGTCTTACATTCTTTTACCAGTGAGAAGATACCTCGGCCTTCCTCTTTGTGATAGTCTTTGAAGGACTTATTGAGGGATATCATGTCCCATCAGTCTATCAAGGCTGGACATGCCCAGTTCCCTCAGCCTCTCCTCACAGGGGAGTGTTTCCAATCCCCAGATCATTTTTGTTGCCCTCCGCTGCCCCCTTTCTAATTGACCTGCCTCTTTCTTAAGTCTTGGTGCCCAGGACTGGACACAGTATTCCAGGTGAGGTCTGACAAGTGAGGAGTACAGAGAAACTGCTACTGCTCATGTTTTGGAAGTAATACTTCTGTTAATGCATTTGCGCTTTTGGTGGCTGCATCGCATTGTTGGCTCATGCTTAGCCTATTCTCCACAATTACTCCAAGCTCTTTTTCAGTTCTGCTAAGCCACATATTCCACATCTTGAATTGAGACTGTGGTAGTCAGACAGTATACAAGTTTTAAATAAATAAAATTTTGATTTCTTTTTCCTAGGTGGAGGACTTGGCACTTGTCCTTATTGAATCGTATTCTGATGCTTTCAGCCCAGTGTTCAAGTTGACCAAGATTGCCCTGGATCTTTATTCTGTCTTCTTGGGTATTTGCTATTCCGCCCAGTTTTGTACCGTCTGCAAATCTGATGATCTTTCCATTATCTTTCCATTTTCTCATCTAAATTATTAATGCAGATGTTGAAGAGCACTGGGCCCAGGACTGAACCCTGTGGCACCCCAGTAGTTATGCTATGGTATTCGCAAAATTGTGCCCGACCCATCACAACCCCATGGGCAACACTCCTCCAGGCCCTCCTGTCCCCCACCATCCCCCAGAGTCCACCTTGCTCACGCCGACTGCTTCAGTGACCCCATCCAGCCACCTCAGCCTCTGCCTTCCCCTTCTCCTTTTGCCGCCAAAGCCCACTAGTTACCTTCATCCAATTTTAGAAGGTGCCATTGAAGAACAGTCTTTGTGCCCAATTTAGCAGGCAATTTTGGATCCACCTAATAGTTTTTTCACCTAGTCCAGTTTTTGATAAAAGCATGCTGGCTTCTATTAATCACCGCATTTTCGTCAAGATGCTTGCAGATGGATTTTTTAGTAATTTCTGCCAGAATTTTTCCAGGAATTGACGTCAGACTAACAACTGGTCTATAGTTCACAGGTTCATCTTTTTCCCCCTTTTTGAAGACAGGGACTACATTAGCCTTCCCCACTCATCTGGCACTTCTCTTGTTTTTCAAGATGTACTGAAGATAATAGCCAAGTGGTTCTGAGAGCTCCTCGGCTAGCTCTTTTATGACTTTGGGATGGAGTTCATTAGGCCCTAGAGATTTGAACATGTTTATTCTACCTAGGTATCCCTTGTCCATTTGTCTGTCAATCTTGGGGTGCCATCTCTCACTTCCAGCTGGAACTTCCTCTTGATTACAGATTTCCCTGTGGGAGAAGACAGAAGCAAAGTAGGACCTGAGCACCTCTGCCTTCTCTTGGGTCTCTGTTACTGCTCTGCCACCCAGTTTAAGTAGCTGGACACCCCTCTCTTCCTCATGTCTTTTGTTCTGGATGTATCTGAAGAAGGCCTTCTCATTGTGCTTGGCATCCCTTGCTCTTCTCAGTTCACCTCCGGCTTTAGCCTTCCGGATGCAATTCCTGCAATTCCTGCTCTTGCGCTTTGTCTTGTCCCTGCTATCCTGTACTTCTTTATCCCAGGCTGGGGACATGAAGAAGTCACTCATTCCTAAATAATCCTGTTAACATAGGAGCCCTAGTATGTGGGGTTTTTCCAACAGCAATGGAAGAAAGGCATTCTCAACAAATCCATTTATTTATTAAAACATTTCTATGCCGCCCCGTGCCGAAGCCTCAGGGCGGCTCACAACAAAAATACAATAAAATATAAAAATAACAATATAAAATTAACAATATAAAATAATAAATAACAATATAAAATCTAATTGTCTCTTCTCCTTGACTTCAAATCCTTTACCCAGATTTCTGCAATCAAGTTGGTTATTTTTCCCAATCAGATCAAGATGCTTTGGATGAGATGCTAAACCCAGCATTCCCCGACCTAGTGCCCTCCAGATGTTGCAGAGCAGCCTCCCATCTTCCAGACCATTGAACATTCTGAATAGTTTAGCTTAAAACACCTGGAAGGACCAAGTCAGCAAAGCTTGTACTAAGCCACAGCTCAGCATGCGGATAAAAGGCTCACTGAGGATTAACAGTGACGCCACCGACACATTTATAAATTGCCAGACTTGTCGTTGTCACTGTCAACCATTCAGTCATGTACAACCCTTGGTCACTTTATGGATCATTGCTCTCTGCCTCACAGTGCTTCCTTCAAGACTGCCATGTCTTGATGATGTCCAGCCAACGGCTGCTGGGGCGATCCCTCCTCCTTCCCCCACTGATCACTCCCAGCATGACTGAGCTCTCACGACATGGCCAAAGTATGACAGCCTTCGTCTGGTGATCTTGGCTTCAAGTGATGTCTTTGGCGAGGCTCAGTCTACGACTTCTTTGTCCGTGATTTCGGCAGATCATGGGATGTGCAACCGTCGTCTTCAGCACTACAATTCTGTCTTTTTCAGAGTCCAAGTTTCACAGCCATATGTGGAAATTGGAAAAATGAGTGTGTTGACTACTCTGCATTTGGTAGAGGCTGATGTCTTTCTTCTTCCAGATGGATGCTGCATTTCTTCCAAGTGCTGCGCACCTTCTGATCTCAGGACTGTGGTCACCATGTTGGTCAAGTTGAATTCCTTTACTGGGATTCAGTTGAATTCCTTTACTGTTTTGATGGTCTCATTGTCAATCGGCACGCTGACCCGTGTGTTCTCTTCAGTCACTGTTAAATTTGTTTTCTTGATGTTAAGGTGCAATCCCAATTTTCCACTTTCATTTTGGACTGAGCCACTCCAAATCTTCTTTGCTTTCTGTGAGCAGAGTTGTATCATCTGCATATTGGAGGTTGTTGATACTCCTACTGCCGATTTGATCCCAGTGGTAGTTTCTTCCAAACATGCGTTCCTTATAACTATTTCTGTGTATATGTTAAATAGTGTAGGTGACAGGATGCAACTTTGCCAAGCGGCTTTTCCAATTCTGAACCATTTTATGTCTCCCTATTCCATTCTTACAGTGACTTCTTGATCAGAGGACAGCGACTGAAGGAGCTGGATGTGGTGTGTTGATATTCCCAGTTCTTTGAAGCAGTTCCTGAGCATATCATGGTCAACACCATCAAAAGCTTTTGTGTAGTCAATGAAACACATGTAGAGGTCTTTTTGGTATTCCTTTGCTTTTTCCATCATCCAGTGTAGATTGGTAACATGATCCCACATTCCTCTCCCTTTACGAAATCCCGCTTTTACAGGCAGTTCTCTATTGGCAGTTGCGTTCAAAGGTTGTTGGATTATCTTCAAGAGGAATTTACTTGTGTGTGGTATCAAGGCAATGGTTCGGTAGCTGGAGCTGTCTTTCTTATCTCCCTTCTTTGGTACTGGGATGAGTACCAACCTTTTCTATTCTTTTGGCCACTAACCAGATTTCCATAAATTTTGGCAAAGCACTCTTGGTGCTTTTGTCGGCAACTCTGCTGGAATTCCATCAACTCCAGGGGCTTTGCAATTAGTCAACTGGTTGAGTGCCCACACTACTTCCTCCTCCAGGATATCTGGTTCCAGTTCTGTTAGAAAAGTTTCTTCTCTTACAGCTTGGCCTTCTCATTTGTGTAAAGCTGTTCTACATATTCCTGCCATCTCTGTCTGATTGCTTGTAGGTCATGCAATTCTTGCCCATCATGTCCTCTAACCATATCCTTTCTTGCCATAAAGGGATATCTGGGCTTCTTCACATAAGTGTTTAATCTCTTCCGGCCGTTTCCTCTAATTTCTTGCATTGTTCACTCCAGTACTTTTCTTTATATTTTCTTGCCTCTCTCTGGAATTCTGTATTTAGTCTTTGTACTTCTTCCCTGTCACCCAATGGTTTTTGCTTTCCTTCTCTCTTCTACATTCTTTATTGTGGCTTCTGATATCCACCTTGCCAACTTTGTTGGTTTCATGTATTGAATATATTTCTGGACTGCTTCAGTGATGGTTGTTTTTATATCCTGCCATAGTTCACC